AAACTTTCTTGCTATAGGTAGTAAAGGTAAGAGTTGAACTTTGCAAGCCACGAAAGTTCAATTTGTTCAAAGGAAATTGTAGACAAGAGGGAGGGGAAGTGAGGGAGTTCTGAGAAAACTCTTTAGATTGGTTTAAAAAGAATAGTAAGACTTTATTAGTATAGAAGTATTAAAACTTCTTGCAAACATCTTTTTTATATGTGATCAGAGGATTATCGGAAAGAGTTGCAAATTAACTAAATTATTCATTAAAAGTTCATTAACTATTTATTAAAAATTTAATAATTATTTATCTATTATTTAACAAAAATTTATTTTTTTTATTTTTTTTATTTTTTTAGGGGTAACAAAGCTCAGTCGTATATGGAATTGCACACCCGTATAGAGAGTTTCAGTTATATATAATATGCATCTGGCTATATATATTTTGAAGAATATATATAAAGACTTGAAATCTATTACAGTGTCTCAATATAAATTTATTTTCAGGTTATTAGCTTACCAATGTGGCTTATTACTAAAAGAAGCCCAAATATCCAACTTTTTATATTTATATTATATTTTCTCTAGTTCAGGATTGTAATATAGAATTTCTTTTATATTTTTTTCCACCAGATATTCTTTTTATAGTACTTATTACTAATGATGGATCCCTAAAGTATTTAGCATATAAAATTTCACAGATCACTTATGTCCTTTTTTGAGAGACAAAATTCATGGCTCTTTACTTTAATAGGGATAAAAGTCAGGAAATGCTATAAATCAATGATTTAGATAATAAAAAACAATTGTGGATAGTTTTTTTATAGTTATTAATTTAAAAATTTTAATGTTTCCTAGTGAGGAACATTTAACTTATGTCCTTGTCTCCCCCTTTAGGAACCCATCTTTAAATACAATATAGTATATTGTTTTAGAAAATATATAATATCTTGATAATAGCATACAAAAACTTTCAAGAATAAGAGTGGTTTATACAGATCTATACCCAATAATGTAATTTACCATCTAAAGATCCATAACTTTAAAAGTATTTGGATACAACAAAAAGAAAATCAAGTAATAAGACTTTGCAACAAATTAAATAATCCTGAATTAATAGGAATTATAACAATCCTTAGACTCAAACAAGCACTGATCAAAAATTGGGAACCACTCAATTTATTAATATACAAATCCTTAAGTCATCTAACAAACAAAGATAGCTTTATACTTCAAATAACCAAAATTGCTAAAGATATGGAGGTAACATTTCATAGTTGAAAATGATAAAATATCTTTGAATAGAAAAAGTGAAATATTTGGATTGGAAAATATCTTGTACTGGAGGAATATAAAAAAGCCATATCATTATTTAGAAACAATCAACTGGTGTATCTGGATCAACTAATCAATCAGAAAATTAAAAAAATAAGAGACTGGTAAATATTTCAACTCCTACAAGATATAAGCAAAGAACCTATATCAGAATGGTTTCAAATTATAATAAAAAATCTCTTAGAAGAACAACTAAAACAACTTATAAGATTTTAGAAAGAAAACTGTATAAAATAGAAACTGAAATATTCAAAAAATAAACTCTAATCAAGACAAGCAAAAAATTTTGTGTATAATAATAACAAGCAAAAGAAATCCAGTAATATGAAAAAAATCAAACTAAAAAAAAAGAGAAATATCATGATAGTGGGGTATTTTACCAATTGTAGTATTAACAATAATTAGGAGATCAATATACAAAAATATCTGGGATATTTGGAAGACACAACACTAAATAGTAAATACATCATAGAAAGAGAAATAGGAGAAATATATATAGTATCATATTTCAATATAAGAAAGTTTACTAGAAGAATATGAGATTTAAAAATCTCCAATCCCAAGTTAGCACTTGAAAAAAAGATCAAAAAGTAATTTATAGCAATCAAAATCTTTTAAGATCTAAAATAATAAAGTAAATCATGTGAACATCAAAACTTGAAAAGAATCTATTATCAAGAAATATATTAGAGAAAAAGTATATTAAGATTACCTGATAGATATACTTCAATGTAATCTTTGATTTAAAGAAAAACTAATCTTCTATTCTAATAGATTACTTATTAATCATAGAAAAGAAGAAATGAAAATAGAAACAGTTTGAATTTAAATAGGAAAAGAAGGAAAAGAAAGCAAGTTTTAAACAGGAGAAACAATTGGCTCTTGTTTACAAAAGCTAAATTGATAACAATTATAACAATATTCTTAATAGTTTCAATTGAAAGCATAGTGAAAATCTTTACAGATAGTCAGGTATATATTTCCAAGTGAAAATTTTTAGAAAAAGAAGACCCAAGAAAGACATACAAGAGATGGCTCAAAGAAAAAATTGATCCCTATAGGTATGCATAATAAAGCTAATAAAAAAGAAAAATATAGATCTAAAGTTCACAAAAGTCAAGGCACATTCAAATGATTCTTATAATAAAGAAACAAATATCTTAGCTAAGGAAGTTCTAAAATTTCCACTAATTGAATGGAAAGTTTTTACTTTATATAAAATTATTACTGAAATCAAGTGGCAAGGGACAACTCTAGATAATCCAATTAGGTAGTTTATTAAAAATATTAATAATAAGACAACAACTTATTAGTAGGTACAACAAAACAGAACAGAGAAAAAATAGAGTAATCAAATTTTAGAACACTGGACTTATACATGAGATCTAGTATAAAAAAGAGTTAAAGATGGACACATATGGAATATATTTTTTAAACAATCTTAATAAAGAAGCTTTCTTATTAAACTGATTAATAATGAGCTACTCACCCTAAGTAAGTTGACTATAAAAAGACTGGATCTATACAAATAAGTGAAATGTATTATATATATTTAACAAAATGAAACTATAGAATACTTGCTAGAATGTTTAGTCTATAAGAACAAACTATAAGAGACATGGAATAAAGAAGTAGATAGAATTATTAAAAACTTTAAAAAGTTATTGTAAGAAAAAAAAAACTAGGTTGAAAAAAAAATTCTAGGTTAATTATTGATAACTAAGAAGAAATAAGAGAGTTTAACAAGTGAATCTTTAAAATAGTAGAATAGACTTCTAAAACCAGTCAAAATATACTAAGTTTCTATACTGACCTTATAAGAACTGACCTTATTCTAAAAATGGCAAACCTAAAATATCAAGGTAAATATATAGGAAGAATAATAAGTAAGTGAATAATAAAAATCTAAAAAAGAGTCTACAACCAAGTTCAAAAAGAAGTTTAAAACAAGAGATGTGAAAAAATAATTGAATAGAAATGAATATAAGGAATTAATAAAGAGGACAAGACAAAAAGATCTTCATATCTTTAAGATCAAAAAAATATAAATCTAAAAAAAAGAGATCCATTATCTGAAGAAGAAAACCTTGAAAATAAGTTTTCAAAAAATTTTAACAAAAAGAATAGAGTATAAAATAAAATGATTGGGTTTTAAGTTCTATTAGAATCTCACAAAGTGATCTATAGTAGTGATTTGCAGACAATAAAGTTAACAGTTAAAAGGATTTTTAATTGAGCTACTAACAGAATGATAAATCACTTCTGAAGTTGTGCTTAGGGTTTTAATAATTTTTAAAATAGATATGAGTGAGTTAGATAGAAACTTAACTTTAGTAATACATTTTTCAATGTAAAGTATACATATATTTAATAAAACATATATGCCTAACCTAATAAAGGGTTTTAAAAAATAAAAATAAATTATATAAGTTACTTTAGTATTATAGACTTTTCATATTATCTGGTCTATAATAAATTATATTATATAATATATTACATTTAATAAAGTAATTTTTATTAATTAAATATTAAAAAAAAAATTTTTTTTTAATTTACAATTATGCTATAACAACATATCTTTATTTAATTTTTTTTTTTAAGTATCCATAATTAGGCTAGATCATTAATTTATTAATTAATTGAAAATAAAAGTACATTTTTATTTAAACAACATAATATATACTATAGCTAACTATTATTCTAATCTAACTAACTTGTTATAAATATAAAATTCTCTAAGTTTAACCTTGAGAACAATATTTTGCTCTGTAGTGTCTTTGGATAAAGACTCTCCTAATCCATTGCATTATTGCCAATAGGTTGTTACTTCTGTATGTCACATCAAGTTACTGGAATACAGGAAACTACAAAAGGATGGATTGAAAAAAGGGGATAAAAATATCTAAAATGTCTAAAAAGATAACAAGAAAATGAAAGAGTAAAAAATTGAAAAAAAAATTTCCAGCTTTCTCCAAAAACCTGCTTTTTAAGACTTCTTCATAATAAGAAATGCTCAATCAAGATATTCTTTCTTCACTTGACTATCTGAGAAACTTATCTATTCTTAATCTTGATTTCCTTCTTGTGCACTGTCTGAGAAGACTTATCACCTAGTGGAAGTCTTTACTGCATTAATAAATAGTAACATGAAGGTATACTTTCACCAGTTACTAAAAAAGAGATAGTCGAAATACTATAAGCACTATTCAACAATAAAGTCTTAAGCAAATTTCAAATCCATTATAAAATGTTAAAAGAATAAAAAGTTTTCTAAATTTTATTTAAAATATAATAAAGAATATCAATTTGATATCAACTGTTTTCATAATTGATTAATAAATCAATCTCTTGGTATAATAATTTTCTCAGTAGTCTTGAAAATAAAATTTTATAAATTTTATTCACAATATTAGTATTCAAATATAGAATCATAAATGAAGATGGCAGTATTAATGCAGCCTCAGCGGTAAGTATTTAAATTTACATAGGATTGTAAGCATGCTAGTTTCTTTCTCTATTTCTAGAATGGTTGAATAGCTTCTAATGTAACGCACTTCACATTTCATCCCAGGCATTCGATTCGATCGACACTAAATCTTAATTAAATCTTCAAGGTTTGTTCCTCTAATGCATCTAATATCTATTAAACTCGCGTCTGACAATTTTCATAGTTATCACACATTCTACGCAAAACCGAAACCTCTACCGTTTTGGATTGCCACCAAAAGCCGATCACGAAGTTTTGCCTTTGTGCTATAGTCCGGAAGCAAAAGAACGCCAAAACATGTCCGGGCTGTTGGTAGTCTACATTCAAATAGCAAGATTAATAAACCTTAACTAGGATAGACCACTAGTTTATAGCATTACCTGTCAGAGTCGGGGCCATTTCTCTGGATGGTAAAGGACATGTCACTATATCCTCTAATTGGTACTCGATCACTGGCAGTAACGAACGCCAAGATTTGCTTTTTATGTTGGTGAGAGAAATCATGAACTACCGACCAAAAATTTCTAAATCAATTATTAATCGGGTTATTCAAAATGTAAACAAAAAAAAAATCCACCAAAAAAAAAAAATTGGTTCTCGAGTTACTTTATTGTAGGATGATTTCTCTCAAAGCCACCTTCATATCTCACAGTCTTCTCCAACTCCTTGAAATCAAGAACTCTATTTCCACAAATGAGCAATTCTAATTCCTCGGCACGACATAACTAATGATAAATGATTGTTACGTCGGAATTAAAAGACATTATTAGTGAGTGAGCTTTGGCGTGTAAAATTGTTTCCATCTAGCTGATAAAACCAGCAAACCTTAGGGACTATTCCATCACACATTCTCAAAAATCCTCTTTGCAATGCATTGAATTGTTTTTCAATGTGCTTATTAGCAAAGTGATCAATATATTTTTCTACGTATTCTTTTCTATTTTCGTTGGTCACATGCACATCACTTCCTCCTTGCATAAGCGGAAATATGCGCTCCTCTCCATATACATTATAGGATATTTCGAAGTTGCGAACAAAGATATCATAAACATCTCCATCCTTCCAAAGAAGCATTTGTTCTAAGCCTTTGCCCAAATCCTGATCAGAGGAATAATAGTAATAATAATAATCCTTTACATTAGTGTCTAAAAAATAAAATAAAATAAAATAAAATGCCTTACCGGAAAACCCTCTTTTATATCTTCCAGCGTAACCGAATAGCCTAACAGCTTTTTGTATAAAGCTCTAGGCAAATTTATATCCACCAGAATTCCATTGAATAATGCCACGCCCAAGGTGATACCCACAAGTTCAAACTTTCGCTCGTTTTCCAAAGAAGCACCATTTATCCAATGAAGCCTTGTCTGCTCATCATACAAAAACATGCCAGTGTCAGGGTCTAGCAATTTTTCCAAGAGAACTTGGAAGAATTCTCTTTGAATTCCACCTTGGTCCTGGGCCTCCTCTTCACCACTAATGAATTTAACTCTCAACGGTTTTTTCAGGTCAAGTTGTTTCACTATCAATTGGTCCAGTGCATCTTTTACCAAATGTTCGCGACGCACTTCAAAATAAAGACCGGGGATTGTTCTTTCTTGAAGTGTGCGAAAAGCATGGTTGTTATCGGTAAGGTATCGTTGCGATTGCAAATAAAATGTATGATGCACACATGAATCCTTTAAGCAAGAGTAAATAAAAGAGCTTATAATTAAAAATATTTTATCTAAAAATTTTTTTTCATTTCTTGAAAAAAGACAAACACAAAACCTCGTAATTGAGTGCCATTTGACATAGGGCATCAATCCTACTGAAATGAGACTTGACGACTGGATCAAACAACATCGGATAGTTTAGGAAAGAGAATGGCCTATTTGGGGTCAAACGCAAGCTACTTTTGGTGGATAAATACGTTTGCGAGTTAAAATTAATCCATTTGCCAATTTTTTAAAAAATTCTTTCCAGACCGGACAATAAAATAGCGTAAAAATAACTTTGCATAGTTATAGGTCCAAAGTACACACCTCGGATCAAATGTCTTCCGCCAACTTTTGTATGCTTCTTTGATATTGAGTTTTTCGCACATATAAATGTTATAGAACATGGTATAATGAACAAGTGCTTTTGGTTCAGCTTTTTCATTCGCTTCGTCTATTTTTTCAATTTAAAAATTGGGTGAATGACGATTCCACCGAAACAAATGCCCTGAAAATGAAACCTTAATGAAACCCGACAGAGACAGACATAGCATAGCTAACGCTTTGACCGTTGCAATCACTTCATGAGTGACTAAGGCAGGAGGCGGATGATAATGATCATCAAGGTAGCGATGAAGAATGCGAATGATATTCTCAAATCCCTCAACATCATACCTAGTGGGATCAAATTAATGAAATCAGAGTGATAAAATGATAAAGTCTAGAAGCTAGACTTAGACTTACTTGGAAAACCAGTCTATAAGTTGATCCCGGGCTTTTCCTCGGAAGTCATCTATATATCCGAGTATTCTTACTACCCTTTTAACTAGAGCCACAGAAAAACTTTCATTTCTATTGGACGTCGCTAACAAAGGGCATTCTATCACGATAAATAATTGTCTTAATGAACCATCTTCATTTTCGAGTATACAAGGATCCATTTCTATTCTTGCCAATAGAACCTCGATGGCATTTGACAGAGTTAATTCGAATAATTCATAAGGACGAAGATCCATAATTAACTTGTATGAAGTCCTTAATGATTCAAAATCAATTTTCGAAGGATGAATACATGATGAGGCTGAATTCTGTATAAAACTTCGATCCAGAGCCTCACGAGATGAAAATATAGTCCTTATGGTATTAAGAAAAAATTTGGGACCACCCAGAAATCCACTAGACTTAATATGTAATCTTTGCTTTTCATTTATAATCTTTTCTTGCTTAAAATAATCATGCTTCCCATTTCCCGATTCCATATGGTCATCAATCGGACGACCCTGATATATATTAAGAGCTTGTCGAAGTAGAGGTAATGTCAACATTCTTAAACTCAGTTCTTTCTCAACACCATCATTGGAAATTGAATCTGACAATGCGTCTTTGTGATCTTTAAAAATCGAAGATTTTATTTTAGTACCACCAACACGATCGACGATTTCAAATCAGAGGTCAAAGTTGATTGACCGAATGTAACAGATCCGTTCTGCTCACACCTTTTGTCGATAAAAATTCTGTTGCACTATCTTTATTTTTCTTTTCAAAATCTGTCTGCGAAATAATTGATTCTAAGGTCAATATAAAAGTGTTGTTTATAGGGTCAGAAACGAATGGTATGGTTAAATAAATAAATAAAAAGAGGTTTAATTACCGTTTGACCGATTTAAACTAATCTTACCATTATTCTCACTGCAAGTTGCTACATCATCGGATGATGCCATATTACTTTTAATATCCCCTGATTCTTTTGTTTCTGAAGAACCCGATCGCACAATAGTACGGTGGCCACTTTTCCGCGCCACGCTGTTATTCTGAGAAACATGAATGGTTATGGACTCATCATTTTTTGTATTACAATGTGTTGAAGGATTTATCTCCGCGCTATCGATTCTTCCACCTCCTATGCTATGTGAAAGTAGGCTAGCGAACGGTGATGCAACAAATAATGTATGGATGAAGGGTTTTACGGAGGGAGCCAGCTGTCGATCTCCATCAGAAACATTATTTGTGCTTGATAAAATAAATCTTGATCGTGGGAGGGAAGTTGGATCAATTGAACAATGGGAACAAAAAAAATGTCGAGGACGAGACGCGAGCTGTACTGATAGGATGGCTGCCATGTCTGGTAACAACCGTGGAGCACCTATCGGGCGTTTTGTTCAAGGTAAACTTAAACGAACGTCAAAAGCTAGTAGAGGCATAATAGTGGCAAACGTACGTACTCTTACAAGAGCGACAAATTTTGGTCTCGCAATCATCGCGACCACAACCTACTGTTAATTGGAAATAATATCTGTTTATGTTGTAACAAATTATTAAGCCAAATATAATTCAAATGAACTTTTTTTTTTTTATCCTGCCGCCAAAATTTATATATCTACCTTCTTACGATGTTTTCGAATTTGATCTTCGCCTCGTCGCGATTTGCGCCCCAATTTAGAGGTGGAATTTGGATCAGAGAATCATCAATACGCGAGTCCATCTTCAAGAAAGGTGTTTTTGCATTTCGGAGTTATCAGATTCTATTAAGGTAAATTCACGTGGTAGGTTGGTGATACGCGATATATAAAAACTTTGCGTACGAAAAGATTCTGATATCCATAGATTTTCTTGATAACCGACGACTTCCTGATGATGCTGATGATGACGGAAATAGCAAGTGAAAATTTCGGGTACGACTCTAAACAATAACGATCTCAGGAGCTATAATCCAAGTTCATTTCATTTCTACTGTAAAGGCAACTATTGCCTACGCTTTTCACGTGATCATTAACAGATCGATCAGATAATTGTATAATACCCAAAATGGCATACATTAAATACGTTGATCCAAAGTTGTCTGTTCAGAAGGATGAACCAGATAATCCATATACATTATCAGTAATACATATGAGGATAATCAAATATGCATCTGCCCAATTAGTCGAGGACATTATGCGAAACGTATAAATAGTGTATGAAACAGCGATAAAACATTTTCTTCAACTTTTATTTATCTCACGCGACATACTATAGTTCGTTCATTAAAATGCAGTTTTCCGCTTTACGAGGGATCACTTTTAGTTATTCCATCATCCCCTTGCGTTATTGCGCTAAACTAACTTCAAAGCTTTCTGCTTCTCGAAATTCGCTTGCGGTAGCAAAACAAGAATTCCATTCTATCTATCATTTGAGGTCGACTCTAAATGGTTCGAAAAACACAAGGTTGGCCTCTTCAGTTTTTGAATAATATTGTGACCTATATGCAGTATCCAATAGTTATCAAATAGTATGAAATAAAGCAGGCAGTCAAAATAAAAAGTTTTGTCATATTTCGTTGAAAATGTTGATTTTAAATGTTTGAACTCAAAAGAATTGCGATATGGAGGTGAAGTTGATTCTCCGGTTATTTATCCTCCAGAAATATTACCTTGTTATCATTATTCGCTCAAAAGACACTGATTCGGGAGTATGGTGAGTGGGTGATTACATTTTTCTGCCAATGGGGTTTATCAATTAAACTTGATCTGATCGAATCATTTACTTAGTAACCAAGATCGTAAAAGTTCCTACCTTAGCCGAATCAATCACGGAAGGGACCCTCTCAAAGTGGAACAAAAGTAATTGCAATCTTTATCTTCTCTTTAAAATAATAGTACTCTGACATTATCTAAAAATCAATTGATCCTTTTTTCAAATCAGAGATCGGTGATTCTGTCCAACAGGACGAGGAAGTAGCAACAATTGAAACCGACAAGGTACAGACCTGTGGTACTTACTTCATCTTCTTATTTATCACCAAGCTATCGAATAATTCATATCAAAAAAAAAAAAAAAAAAAAAAAAAAAAGATTGATGCCACCGTAAATTCTCCTTATTCTGGAAAGATACTCGAGCTGTGTGCAAACGAACAGGACAACGTGACAGTAGGCCAAGACCTCTTCAAGATCGAGTTAGGAGACGTTGCAACTGTTGGCATGTGGTTTTTTTTTTGTTTTTTTTTTTTACTCAAAATTATCACATATTAACATATTTATCACGTTAATTTTCCCGTTTTAAGTTACGCTAGGTTCGGATGCAACGGCTTCAAAGGAGGAAGTTGCAAGACCAGAACCAAAGCAAGAAGAGGTCAAAGAACAACCTAGAAAAGAGATCAAAGATGAAGAAACCAAAGAGACAGTCCCTCCTACTTCACAAAAATCATCACAACCAGGTATCCATCTACAGGTTTACATGCCATTCCATTCAGTTTGTGGTTATAATGGGGAGTTGTGTTTTATTATAGAACCCGAACCTGCTGTGAATTTACCTTCTCCCGAACCGTCCATGCCCCCAAGAAAGGCTGACGTTTATTATGGTGAACGTGAGGAGCGTCAAGTATGCATTAATTCATAGAACAGAACAATTGTTATGTTCATGAATCGCAAAATAAGTATAACGCGTTTCGATTATATTTTCGTGTAGGTCAAAATGAATAGGATGCGTTTGCGAATTTCTGAACGTTTAAAAGAATCGCAAAATACCGCTGCGTCTTTGACAACATTTAACGAAATTGATATGAGGTTGGACTTTATTTATTAATCGCTAGCACGATTTTCCATTGTTATGAGACTATAATTATTTTCTCGAAATAAACCTTCATCATCTATCATTGTAGTAACATCATTGAACTTCGCAACACTTATAAGGATGCGATCATCAAGAAGCACGGCGTAAAATTAGGATTTATGTCTGCATTTGTAAAGGCGTCGGTATTTGCTCTTCAGGAGGTCCCGGCAGTAAATGCCTCCATCTCAGAGGCCGGGGACACAATTCTCTACAGAGATTATATTGATATGAGTGTTGCAGTGGCTACACCGAAAGGTCTTGTAACACCTGTGGTCCGTAATGCTCACTTATTATCCTTCGTAGAAATAGAAAAGGCTATTGCAGAATTGGGTCAAAAGGTAATATGAATTTTCGCGTTTATCTTTAACCCAAGAACAATATAATCCAACCAACTCTCGCTTAAAAAGAAAGTACTGAAGAAAATACCTTTTAATAATAATATATATTTAAAAGAATTATTGAGAAGTAAATAGTTGAAAATAAAAATGTTTAGGTTTTAATCTATTTGATAGAACTTTGAAAAATTTATAGTAATGACAAAACTTTATGATTAATTAATAATCCAATCATAAAGGGAGCAAAATATTATTCTTTAAGTTGTATTTAAAGAAGGTTAACTTTAATAATAGATAAGTTAACATGTGAAATTCATTTAAATTATAAATATTTTCTTTTAAATACATAATAAAAGACAAGCCATGCTAGCTTGTAATGGGTTAAAAAAAAAAAAATCATGTAACATTTTGTAAATTTTGAACTTGAAAATGTTAAAATTGTAGTTCATAATAAAAACATAGCAAGCCCAAACTTTTGTGAGCCACTGTATATATTGACCTTTTATTTACATTGGAACCTGATATATAAATTGTGATTATTATAACGTCGAAGCTAATTGGATGATCAATAATAATCTATTTGTTACATAAATACTCTAAATTTCTTGTATGAAGAACCTTTCAATTAAATACTCAGCAATAAACGACGTGGATCTTCGACTTGTTCTTTAACAATCTTCAAGAATGTGACGGCCTCACGTCCATCAATCAAACGATGGTCATATGTGAGTGCGACATACATAATTGGACGAATCTCTATCTGCTTAGAAAAACACTTGTAAATATTGTGTCGTATCTGGTTAATTCAAAGAACAAAAAAAAAAAAAAAAAATGAATTGTGACCTTTCCGTTAATTGCAACGGGGCGTTCTTTCGTGGCATGCATCCCCAATATCGCACTTTGCGGCATATTGATGATCGGAG